AGTCACGGCCATGGATGGCGGCTGATTTAGATTAGACCATGGCGGCGCCCGCCGCAAGATAAAACAAAAACTCAACAAATGTAGATTGACTATAAGGATGATAATTTAAAGTTTTTGCTCCCTCTGGAACGCTCTGGTCTTATTTATGGATTCATACTTACATTTTTTTTTTTTTTTTCTTTGTAAGTAAACTTTTCTTTTGGGTTAGTACCCACAAAAAATAGCCTATACAAGGTTATGTAAATACACAAAAAGCTCTTCCTATTTGTTTTACATTCAAATGCAAAAGCCCAGACTTGAAATTACCACAAAAAAAAGAAAAAAAAGAAAAAAAAAAAAGCAGTTACAGCCATGGATGTCGGCTGATTTTGTTTAGACCATGGTTGCGGCCGCCGCAAGATAAAACAAAAACTCAACAAATGAAGATTGACTATAGCCTTAGCTATGACGGTGATAATTCAAAGTTTTTGCTCCCTCTGAAAGTTCGGGTCATATTTAGAGCATCTTTAATAATGCTCTTTATTTTTTAGAGTATCTTTTATATAAATAAAAAGTATTTTGATTAATTTTTAAATATAAAAAACATAATTTTTATTCAAATCTAATAGACTCTTTAAATTTAATAAAGATATTTTTTATTTTTAAGAAAAAAACTTAATGGGAGAGATGATTAATAAATAAAATACATAAGAACTTATAGTTTATTAATTAAAATTATGATAGAAAGTGAAATTGGACTCTCTAAATGTAAAAAGTTAAACTCACTCTCTAATTTATATTTTAAAGATAAAGAGTTTGTTGAATTTTTGTTTTTATGAATAAACTCTTTATAATAAATAATTTGGGTCATATAAAAAGTCATTTAGAGACGCTCTTATAGATTCACTTACAAATTTGTTTTTTTTTTTTTTTTTTTTTCCCTTTTGTAGGTACCCACAAAAAATAGTTACAAGATTATATAAATATACAAAAAGCTTTTTTTATCTCAGGACATACCAGGGGCTAGGAACAAAACCAAGAGAGTTAAAAGACAATGTCTAAATAGACGACAAAATTACAACAACCACCTCCCCTCGAACCACAAAAGGCAAAGACTCCACACGCAAAGCCAAAAGCCCAAGGGATGGAACAATTTTTTTTTTTTTTTTTTTAAATTATTTGACTTGCATATTAAAGAACATGATTAACGAATCATTAGTTTCTAATATTTTTCAGTTGATCTATTTACTGAAACTTAGACCTCAAACATATCGATCCCAGTTATGGACCCAAAACAATATAATAAAAGTATGCCATAAAAAACTGAAAATTACGTAATCAACTATCTTTTAATCTGCTTATAGTCATCCTTTCACATACATATCTTGTTTTATTTCAGTAAAAACAGGATTCCATCAATCAGAATTCAATGAGTTTCATTAGTTAATGCACAAACTCATGACTTTGTGCTTTGTTCATCATATAAATATAAAAGCAGAACCCACTTCGTCAACTTTAGAGACCCTGTCACATAAATGGGGCTGCCAACGACTGCCAATTAAAGCTTGGAAAAGCAATATATATATATTGTTTCCGATGACTGATCCCGTTGGTTGCAGTGAGAAAACAAGAATTAAACATCAGAAGACCGCGTTACAATAAATTTTTATTTAATTTATGAGCAAATGGTTTTGTACGATTCCGCGGCAAATTCTAACAAAAAGCATTAAAATTAATGGTGCAGCCTGAGATTAAAAGAGCATTAAAGAGTGTTTCCAACTTTTCGTTTTCTTTACTTTTCAAAAACAATGTCTTGCTTTCTCATTGAAAAGAAACCTCTAAAATAAGTTTTCGTGATTTAAATTCGACAGACAAAAACATTTATGAGAAATCAAATCACATTCCTTCAACAATGACTCCATTGTCATTTGGTCAACAATGGTGAAAAAGAGAGATTTCAGACTGAAATTAACGGGAATCAGATCTATTAAATTCCTTGAATCTACAGTAGAAAAGTTTTATTTAATTTTGACACTTTTTACAGCGTCTTATCGTAGTTGCGATTTAGGTTAGATATTTTTCAAACTGCACTATATAGACAATAATTAAGGGAACAATTAAGATTACTTGTTAATTAATTAAGCTAGAAATAATGAGTAATTGTCTTGTTCATTCATTTATACTTATCTAATCATGGGTTTCCATCATCTAGTCCTATCTTGATACTATATTAATCTAGAAATTAAATTAAATTATTTAGGTTAGGTAAGTGGTAACCTCTTATTTTAAGTTTAACCTAACGCCCTAATGGCCAATAGTACGTTCTTCAAATCTATTACTACTGAGATTAGCACCTATTGCTAATCTTGACTAACGGATTGTACTGTACTAAGATGTACAGCTTCATCATTTATAAGAAGATCACAAAACTTGTACATATGAATGATACATATCTTTTTTTTTTTTTTATCGAAAATGTCCGAAATAGTTTGTACGCATCTCAACTAATCCTTCGGGTCCTGAAGTGAACAGTTGAGTAAATCCCCTCAATGATCACCTCTATTAGTGTCTGGGAGGATTCGAATTCGGAAACTCATGTTGAACCCCTTTGCTCTTTTATCATTAGATCATCTAGCGGTGGTTAATGATACATATATTTGGCTTCTGTAGCCATCGATATAATTTTCAATTCCTATGATTAATCATTTAGGAAAAGAAATTAATGTGGGGGATGACTATCATAATATAGGCTGTTCCATGCATGTTATGTGTTGTAATTATTTGGCAGAATGTGGAACTTATGGTATATATATTTTAATTAATTAATTAATTTAGACAAAGCTTGTGATATATATCTTGTTCAGAGAAAAAAGGTCATGAGAACCTGTAATCAAGTTTAATGTATATGTTTAAATTATAACTCTATAAAAAGGCCAAAAAAAAAAAAAAAATATGAAAAAAATACAAGTAATAAATCTAAAATAATAGCGTATGGACTTGTACCAAACATGAAAAACGTATATAAAACGATCAAATCACATCAGTAATACTAGTGAAATTATTACAGTGATCACTTATTTTTTTAATAATTAAATTTGGTCAATCAAGTACTATATCGTATTAGAATTTTGCAGATTATGGTTGGCCTTTTGGTTCAATAAGTTAGGTATATTTTCCACAAGAGAGTTGTACTCTTTATAAGTCAAAAGTGTTTCAAATAGTAAATAAATTAATATTTTTATATTATTTTTACTGTTTGATCATTGAAATTATGCACTATTCAAGCACAAACAATTAAGTTTCAAATTCTTTTATTGAAAAAATTGCTATTCTTCAAAATAATAATAAAGGAAAAACCTTGATATAACGAGGAAGCCAATCTGAAAACAAAATGTCCCAATAATACGTGCATTTATGGCCCCATTTAATCTCATATTTTGATCAAAATTATCACCTTCCATATAATTTAGTTTGTCTTCCTCTCTTTAAATCCATGTAGAGGAATATGAACACATACACTGAGACGGCATGCATCATTTTATCAAAACTGTCATCATTTCATCACCTCCTCCACCAAAAGGAGTCAACCATTTTAAATCACTTCTGAAAGCTCCACTCTGCTTCCTAGTCTTGTAACCAATGGCAATAATGTTCTTACTGCCACGTCTATTTCACATGCACCTCTCCTTTAATTCTAACATTTTTCTACACATTTACTATTTCCTTTTTTTTTTTTAAAGTCATTATACTATGCCACCTAATCCGCCAATATCTTGGGGGAAAACAAAGGGATATTTATACAATACTATCTCGTGTCTCATGTACAAAATAAGTGGAAGAAGGCATATATATATATAGTATGGTTTATTTATTCCTTTTTCCATGGACTACTGCATTTTATACTATGGTTTCTCCATGTGAAGACGTATGCTTTACCTCATTTGATGTTAGATCATAGATAATGTAGAAGCATTTATTATTTGATTAATTCCTTTAATAATAATTACCAGAAATAGTTAAGTTATTATGTAGAAGAATATGTATATATTTGGTATCATTATCAACGCCAAACTTCAAATCAAGTTATTAATATTGACTTAAGAAATAATATAATAATGGGGTTTGGTTAATATGATTCCTTATAGGTAGAAATTTGAGTCAAAAAGAACACAATTTATGTTCCCCTTTCCAAGCATAGAAAATCATGGCTTTGTTTGTTGGGTGAGCGATGGAGATTTTGTCTCTTAATATAAACTTTCAAGTCACGTGCCTTGCAGATGACTTGAATTTTATTACCCTCCTCAAAAAAAAAAACGGAAAACGCGTTCAAGATAAGGGGGGAGACATTTGTCATCATCACTTCCAGAGAAGGTTTTATAAAAGATCAACATGAACACGTGCAATGTTTATGCCGTAAATTATCTCAATTTATATTCCACGTAGAATTTAGCTTTTCAAGTGTGGGTCACTTAATTAATCAACTCTTTTTTCTCTGTAGAAATGACAAAAGATTGATGACTGATTAGTACGACTTATGTAATCAAGGTAAAAAGTTAATCCACGATTGCATAAAAACCAATATAATATATTAATAGAGAAATTAAAAATAAAACTATGATAATTAATTAATCCAAGATTATATTTGTCAGAATAAAACTAGGCGATCGTGTGTTAATCTAGCCGTTTTTAATCAGATTTATTCAAACTGTTTTCGACCAAATATATTACTGATAGCGGTGGCAAGATCTATTGTGATCTTAGATAATTTGGTTGAAGTAAAATGATATTACTAGATAACCCAATATAGTAATGTAAGTAATATAAGATGATATTACTGATGAGCTAATCCTCTGATTAAGAAATTAAATACTAAAATTAGTTACGGGTGCATTAATCAAGTATTGCTCAATTACTGCGAGGTGACACATTGATTAAGTAGGCACTGTTAATTAAAGATTGAGAAAGGAAGAGATGGTCAAAAGTCCAATTGACAAGGATCAATTGCAAGTAATGATAGTAGGTGACCAAAAAGTAGTTTCAGATTCAATAATAATTAACCTTACAAATGGACTTTAATAATTAAAAATAGAAACCGCTTTCTCTCCAAACAACAGCATATTTTCTTGGAGGAAAATGACCAATAACATTAATCTACTTCGCCCTAGGCCTAGCTTTAAACAAAGAGATTAACTAGATCCTATTTTACAATATATATTATTTTTCCTCCAAATTCTCTCCACACATATTACATAATATAATTTCATATATTCCCTACAGATTAAGTCAAATTTATTAATATATATCTAGCTAGCTAGTTTTCCTTCAACTTCATCTCCTTCTCAAATGAGTTAGGAGAATTTTTCATGGAAGGATTGATAATCTAAATACAGTATATAACAAATAATAATAATAATATTGGTTCATGTCCAGAGAGGCTCCCACAGTGCTGCTAAGTTTTCGTCAAGGAAGCATGGATTGCCCTGGGAGCTTTCCGGGCTTGTAATGAAGTTGTCGACCGATTGTGGAGAATTGGGCTGTGGTTCGGATTTCGCCATTTCCACGCAGAGTAAAGCTACAAGATTCGTTTGTTGGCATTGCATGTTGACAAGTTCAGCTTGTGCTTTAGCCAGTTGAGCCTGGAGCTCACTAACTTGTTTCTGAAGCTGACAAATCGCCCCCGCACACCCGTAAACAGGGTCCCGAATTCTCGCACTGGCTTCATAAACCATGCTGCTGACGGCATCGGCCCTTTGAGACTCTGGAAGTTCCTGAAAAATATCAAGAAAATCTCATTAAGGAATTTGACTGAAGAAAATATGAAAAAGACAGGATAAAAGAATCCTAATGAACCCAAACTAGCAAGAGAAGATCAGTTTGATCACATGACGATGATCAGTAGGCTCCACGTTTATCCTCATATCTAAAATTGACAGTAGTAGCAGAAGATATTCAATAATCTTGACAAAGTAGGGGTTTTGTTTGATTGTGGACTTTCAGGAACATGATATGTTTCCACTGTGTGAACACTTAACGTTTCTGAATTCCGAAATCTATCATACTTATTCAAAATTCAACTGAAATGAAAGCAAAACAAAACAAAGCATGCTAGAACTAGCAACGAGCGGTCTGAGATGCCTATGCATTTAAACTGGTCTTTTTCTTTTCTTAATTAGCCAGCAACCCACGGCACCTCTCTCATTTCACATCCCCCATGCCCATATCTTGGATAATAATTCTGATAAGTTTTCTGATTCCAGCACTATCGATCTTTGTAGTCCACTTGATCAGTGAGTGCTATACAACCCGACCCCACGTTTATCTAACACTTTGCATGTTATTGCTCCCTAGTCTTTTCAGAATCAACTTGACCTTTCAATTTTTTATCAGTTGGGTTTCTCATAGATTTATACTTTAATTTAAGACTCCACTATATAGTTTTTTCAACGATTAGATAAAAGACAATGACACTTGTTTAATTTTTTAAGATGAAAAAGTTAGTTTGTGATAAGAAAGAATAACTAATACGAGATATATATGTTTATTAATGAACATATTTGAACTAGTCAAAACTTGAGAACAGGAAGCTAATACTTGTTGAGATTATTTTGTGAATCTCATGTAATTAATTAAGTACCTGCAGAAACTTGATGATATTGCTGGCGCCAAAAACTCGATGAGCAATGGTAAACTTTGTGGGTTCAGTAGGGGGGAAATAAGGTGCTAAAACACATTTATCAGCACATCTTCGTCTAAGAATTTTGCATGCAGCACAAGGGCTAATAACCACAGGTGGGTTGTTTTGAGAAGGAGTAGGAGGAGAAGGTGCAGGTGAAGATGATGAAGGAGAAGATGAACCAGCACTAGAGTTTGTTGCAGTCTCAATACCCTCCATGCTTTCTCTTCTTTTTTTTTCTTTAATTAAGATTAGATGTAGAGAGAGAGAAAAGAGAAAGCGAGAGAGAGAGAGAGCGCGAAAGAGTAGAGTTGGGTGGTGTTTTAAGAAAGGGGGAAGCAGTATATATAGAGAAAAGAGAAGAAAAGGGGAACGTCAGAAAGATAAAAAGTAACGTCATCAAGAGTTGAAAATGGTTATGGTTAAGGTTGCGTGGCTGCTGGAGTGTTCAATATTTTCTTTAGTTCCGTTAGGTTTTGCTTTTTTGGATTTTATCGTGAGAAAAATCTTCTACTTTGAAATGCATTTATTTTTTTGGCCGTATATTTTATTTTTCTTCTACTTTGAAACTGTCCAATAATATAACCACATGTATCTTAATATAACCACATGTATCTTAACGTATTATCATTCGAGGTAATTTTGAAAATTAATCGTATTTATTAGATCATTTGCTATGTCGTTCAAGTGATGAGGTGAACTTGTCTCGTATCAATTTAAAAATAATTAAAATAATAAATTATCATAATGTTTAGGAAAAAAAAAATTAATTGAATTTGGATTAGTAAGATAAAAATGTTAATTAGAAGATAATTAAGTTTTAATGGTAGATTAATACTAGTCAAAATAATCATCACTGGGTGTCCTGATGATGAAAAAGCAAAATGAACCTTCATGAACTCTAGAATTTAAGTCCCCCTAGGCTCTATTTTAAAATTCAAACCGGACCAGCCAGTTCGACAGAGACTCAATAGCCTCTCCGGTCTAGGTTACCATTTTCTACTATTCACAAAATCCCTAGGGTTTTGTAGAGTAGAGGCCGGTGCTTCAAGGGGTGGTGTCAGATTGAATTCTGGACATTAAAATCAGTTGAAATTTGGTCGAAAAATTCTAACCAACGTTAGTCTTATATAGGCAAACAGCTAGCCAACTTTGATGCATACCTCTTGATTAGTCTCCTTGAAAATATTAATTAATTGCTAATTGATTTACCATAATGCTATTTTGAAATTCTACAACGAATCGTCCAATTGCATGGCCAACTTTATTTGTTTTAACATTCAAATGCATAGCAAAGACTTGAAATTACACAAAAAAATAAACAGTTACGGCCATGGTTGTCGGCTGATTTAGATTAGACCATGGCGCCCGCCGCAAGATAAAACAAAAACTAACAAAATGTAGATTGACTATAAGATGATGATTCAAAGTTTTTGCTCCCTCTGGAACGTTCTGGTCTTATTTATGGATTCATACTTACATTTTTTTTTTTTTTCTTTGTAGTAACTTTTCTTTGGGTTAGTACCCACAAAAATAGCCTATACAAGGTTATGTAAATACACAAAAGCTCTCCTATTTGTTTTACATTCAAATGAATAGCCAGACTTGAAATTACCACAAAAAAATAAACAGTTACAGCCAGGATGTCGCGCTGATTTGATTTAGACCATGGTTGCGCCGCCGCAAGTAAAACAAAAACTCAACAAATGAAGAGTTGACTATACGGGTGTGTAATTCAAAGTTTTTGCTCCCTCTGAACGTTCTGGCCTATTTATGGTTCATACTCCATTTTTTTTTTCTTTGTAAGTAAACCTTTTCTTCTGGGTTAGACCCACAAAAAATGTATACAAGATTATGTAAATATAAAAAAAGCTTTTATCTCAGGAACTACCTCGTTTAGGAACAAAACCAAGAAATTAAAACATGTCAAATAGCGACAAAATCACAACCACACCTCCCCTCAAACCAAAAAGGCAATCACCCATCACGACCAAAGCCAAGTAACAACATTTTTTTTTTTTTTTTTTAATTATTTGACTTGCAGATTAAAGAACATGATTAACGAATCATTAGTTGCTAATTTTTCAGTTGATCTATTACTGAACTTAGACCTCAAACATATCGATCCCAGTTATGGACCCAACAGTATAATAAAAGATGCCATAAAAAACTGAAAATTACGTAATCAACTATCTTTTAATCTGCTTATGTCATCCTTTCACATACATATTTTGTTTTATTTCAGTTAAAACACGATTCCATCAGAATTCAATGAGTTTCATTAGTTAATGCACAAACTCATGACTTTTGCTTTGTTCATCATATAAATATAAAAGCAAACCCACTTCGTCAACTTTAGAGACCCTGTCCATAAATGGGGCTGCCACGCTGCCAATTAAGCTTGGAAAAGCAATATATATATTTTCTGATACGATCCCGTTGTTGCAGTGAGAAAACAAGAATTAAACATCAGAAAACCGCGTTACAATAATTTTTATTTAATTATAAGCAAATGGTTTTGTACATTCCGCGGCAAATCTAACAAAAGCTTAAAATTAATGGTGCAGCCTGAGATTAAAGAGCATTAAGATGTCCATTGTCATAAGGTGAGTAGATTAGAGCATTAAGAGTGTTCCAACTTTTCGTTTTCTTTACTTTTCAAAAACAATGTCTTGCTTTCTCTTGAAAAGAAACCTCTAAATAAGTTTTCTTGATTTAATTCGACAGACAAAAACATTTATGGAAATCAAATCACATTCCTTCAACAATGACTCCATTGTCATTTGGTCAACAATGGTGAAAAAGAGAGATTTCAGATTGAAATTAACGGAACAGATTCATTAAATTCCTCGATTCTGAAAAGTTTATTTATTTGACACTTTTCCAGCGTCTATCGTAGTTGGATTTAGGTAGATATTTTTCAAACTCACTATATAGACAATAATTAAGGGAACATTAAGATTACTTGTTAATTAATTAAGCTAAAATGATGTAATTGTCTTGTTCATTCATTTACTTATCTAATCATGGGTTTCCATCATCTAGTCCTATCTTGATACTATATTAATCTAGAAATTAATTAATTATTTAGGTTAGGTAAGTGGTAACCTCTTATTTTAAGTTTAACCTAACGCCCTAATGGCCAATAGTACGTTCTCAAATCTATTATTATTGAGATTAGCACCTTTGCTAATCTTGACTAACGGATTGTTACTAATTGTACCATTCTTATCACAAACTGTACATATGAATGATACATATCTTTTTTTTTTTTTTATCGAATGTCCGATAGTTTGACGCATCCTCAACTAATCTTCGGGCCTGAAGTAAAGTTGAGTAAATCCCCTCAATGTCACTCTATTAGTGTCTGGGAGGATTCGAATTCGAAACTCATGTTGAACCCCTTTCTCTTTTATCATTAGATCATCTAGCGTGGTTATGATACATATTGGCTTCGTAGCCATCGATATAATTTTCAATTCCTATGATTAATCATTTAGGAAAAGAAATTAATGTGGGGGATGACTATCATAATATAGGCTGTTCTATGCATGTTATGTGTTGAAATTTTTGGCAGAATGTGGACTTTGATATATATATTTAATTAATTAATTAATTTAGACAAAGCTTGTGATATATCTTGTTCAGAGAAAAAAAGTCATGAGAACCTGTAATCAAGTTTAATGTATATGTTTAAATTATAACTCTAAAAGCCAAAAAAAAAAAAAAGAAAAAATCAAGTAATAAATCAAATAATAGCGTATGGACTTGTACCAAACATGAAAAACGTATATAAAACGATCAAATCACATCAGTAATCTAGTGAAATTATTACAGTGATCACTTATTTTTTTAATAATTAATTTGGTCAATCAAGTACTATATCGTATTAGAATTTTGCAGATTATGGTTGGCCTTTGGTTCAATAGTTAGGTATATTTTCCACAAGAGAGTTGTCCTCTTTATAGTCAAAAGTGTTTCAAATAGTAAATAAATTAATATTTTTATATTATTTTTACTGTTTATCATTGAAATTATGCACTATTCAAGCACAAACAATTAAGTTTCAAATTCTTTTATGAAAATTGTATTCTTCAAATAATAATAAAGGAAAAACCTTGATATAACGAGGAAGCCAATCTGAACAAAATGTCCCAATAATACGTGCATTTATGGCCCCATTTAATCTCATATTTTGATCAAAATTATCACCTTCCATATAATTTAGTTGTCTTCCTCTCTTTAAATCCATGTAGAGGAATATGAACACATATCACACTGAGACGGCATGCATCATTTATCAAAACTGTCTCATTTCATCACCCCCTCCACCAAAAGGAGTCAACCATTTTAAATCACTTCTGAAAGCTCCACTCTGCTTCCTAGTCTTGTACCAATGGCAATAAGTGCTTACTGCCACCTCTATTTCACATGCACCTCTCCTTTAATTCTAACATTTTTCTACACATTCACTATTTCCTTTTTTTTTTTTAAAGTCTTACTCTATGCCACCTAATCCGCCAATATCTTGGGGGAAAACAAAGGGATATTTATACATATCCGTCTCATGTACAAATGTGGAAAGAAGGCATATAATATATATTATGGTTTATTTATTCCTTTTTCCATGAACTACTGCATTTATACTATGGTTTCTCCATGTGAAGACGTTGCTTTACCTCATTTGATGTTAGATCATAGATAATGTAGAACATTTATTATTGATAATTCCTTTAATAATATTACCAGAAATAGTTAAGTTTTATGTAGAAGAATATGTATATATTTGGTATCATATCAACGCCAAACTTCAAATCAAGTTATTAATAGGACTTAAGAAATAATATAATAATGGGGTTTGGTTAATATGATTCCTTATAGGTAGAAATTTGAGTCAAAAAGAACACCATTTATGTTCCCTTTCAAGCATAGAAAATCATGGCTTGTTTTTTGGTGAGCGATGGAGATTTTGTCTCTTAATATACTTTCAAGTCACGTGCCTTGCAATGACTTGAATTTTATTACCCTCTTCAAAAAAAAACGGAAAACGCGTTCAAGATAAGGGGGGAGACATTTGTCATCATCCCTTCCAGAAAGGTTTTATAAAATACAACATGAACACTTGCAATGTTTATGCCGTAAATTATCCATATATTCCACGTAGAATTTAGCTTTTCAAGTGTGGGTCACTTAATTAATAACTCTTTTTTTCTCTGTAAAGAAATGACAAAGATTGATGACTGATATTACGACTTATGTAATCA